GATCCAACTCATAGTGACCCTTCCTTGGGTTTCCTAGTGATACTTCCTTCTGTAGGTATCACTACAGAAGTAGATTGCCCAACCTTCCTTCCAAGGAGTGGCTGGTGGGTTTGAACCTCCGGCCTTCTGGTTAGCAGTCAAATGCCTTAGGCACTATGTCACCAGAGCTCCCAGTGCCAGTAGGGTTTCTTGAAATATTACGAGAAGTAATGTGAAATTACAGATTTTATGTAATTGTATTGACCTGGGGGCCTTGATTTTTTTATTCTAGTTTTTAAATATTTGGCTGACAAATATCTTCAAAAACTCAAACAGCAAATCGCTGGAGATCCAGAACTAAGGCAGTCAAGTAGTAACAAAATTGGTAAGTACATATTAACCTGGTAAGTTTATTTTCCATTCATTATTATTTTTTATAATATGCTCATTTCTTTAAGAAATATGATGAGAAAGTATTAAATCAGTGATTATTAAACTTTTTTAGGAATATTGAGTTAAAAAGATTTTTTACTATTGAAATTTCTAAATGTCTATCCCTTATATACAAGAGCTTTATAATATTTTTCTATACTTTTGCTCTCTCTCACCTTTTCTCATTCCTACAGTCTTTCTCATTATCTGTTACTAAATTTTTTTAATGCTAAATGCTAGCAAAAATTTAGCATTCCTTGCAAACTAATATTGTCTCATCTCACATATATGAAATTAGATACATATAGAAACCAAAGCCCACTAGTGATTATCAGTGGTAGGAGGGGTAAGAACAAGTTTGTTTGTGGGGGCAATAAGTTTATGTTAATGGTGATGAAATTTTGGAAAAGAATAGTGGCAATGGTGGCACAACATGAAAAATGTCATCATTGTCATTGTAAATGTGGAAGTTGTGTTGGCCAGTGTTTTGGTGTGTATATTTTTACCACAATTAAAAAAGGAAAGAGAAAAAAGTGTAGCATTCCCTGAAGAACAGATAGTTGTCTTCTCTTTAGCAGTGAGAACTCACTAAGCATGTCTCCCTTTTTGTTTCGGTTTTCCAGGAAGATGAAACCCAAGTTTGCGAGTTCTAAAGCAGTTATGTAGGCTCTTAAGGACTTCATGTCTGTATTCTGTCCACCTACTCACTGAATACACATGAAAACATGATTTGCACGACCTGTTTTAATTTACATTTATCCTTCATTCTGGCTTTTTCTTATTTTACTATTTTTATGGTATATATTCCTATTGTCAAGTCACCTCAAATGCTTGCAAATTAAGAAAAGGTAAATTGCAGTAAGCTTTTGTCATAACTTCTTCCAATCCACTGATTAAAATCCTTTGATTTTCATTATGGAACAAATTAAATGCGGATTCTTCAGCATTTAAAGACAAATTCATCTAGCTCAGCTGTGCAGCCTCATGCCCCGCTATCTAAATGTGCAGTTTACCAGCTCCCCCAGAGGGCTTGCTCTTTCCTAAGCATGATCAGGGCTTTCCCACCTCATTACCTTTGCTCATTTTGGTTCTTCCATTAATAATTACCTTCCTTTCCCAACTTCTGTCAAAAATTCTTCATTCTTCAAGGGCTATCTGGAAAGATCTTAGCTTTCTCTTTGGGGGAAGCCTCAATCTCCATGGTTTTCTCTTGAAAGAACAGAGATCTAAGTCCAGGGCATTGCCAGGTATCCAGTTCCTTCTTCTTCATGTAGTTTTTCCTTTCTTATGCATTAGATATAATTGGTCCTTCCTTTGAACCATCTCTGTGTCTCTTTTATGGTGCTTAGCATATGTCTTATAGCTGCAATTGCTTTATTTACAGTCTAAGTGAGTAGATAAGATAGTATACTATCTACTCACTTAATAGATTGTAAACTTCTTGTGGGCAGTAATTAGTCTTTGTCATCTTTGTATCCTTGGGTAGTATCTGGCCCAGAGTTTTGTATATCACAAGTACTAAATAGTTCCTAAATTGAAGGTTACATTTTGTGACCATCACAGTTCAGCATGGAAACTAAAATTCTGAAAATTTTTCTTTAGTTCATCCTTTTATTCGACTCATCACTTTAATAAATCTGTAAACCACTTCTTTATTTTAACCTAAATCGGAAAATTCTTTCTTACTACCAGCTTTTACATATACAGTTATTGACATAAATTCTCACAAATACAGTTATTGAGTATAAATCAGGTATTCTTGAAGAAGTTATATGATTGAAATTAATAAGTAATTCATTGTATTTACTGATTCAAAATTTCCAAAATTTATTGTTAGTGAAAAGATGTAGAGTAGGGTATAAAATATGCACCATGTAAGTAGAGCAGGGAGGAAAACAAGAATACATACGCAGGTTTGCCTGCATATGCATAAAATATTCCTAAAAGGATACACAGAAAAACTAATACCATGCTTGGCTTTGCCTAAGGGGAGTAGAGCTGATGACCAGAGGATTAAGGTTGGAAGATGACTTTACTGTGACTCATTTTGTGCCCTTTAAACTTTGAACCATATGTATTAACTATTAGAAATAAATGAAATTGCAGCATATTTGAAATTTCATTACTGATTTTATTATGAAGCTAGATACATAGGCAGCAACAGGTGACCCTGACATATATAAATGTTAATTTTTGTGTTTCCTTCAATTTATACAGGTGTCTTTAATACATCTGGTGGGAGTCACTCAGGTCGGAATTCAAGTACACTTAATGGTGGAGATGTCATCAATCTTAGACCCAACAAACAGAGGACCAAGAAAAACAGAAATCCTTTTAGCACCTGTAGCATACTCTAAAACATTTTTAGGGGAGAAGCATTGAATTATATTGTGCAATTCAGTAAGAAGTACATCGAGTTGTCATGGTATGTTGCAAGTATTTTAGCAGATTTTGCACCCAGTGGCTCTCTGAAAGTTGACAGACTTAATTAATTGTTGCTCTTGCAGTGCTTTTCAGAATGTAGAGTGAGACCACTGGTGGAAAGATTACTGCCCTGTGTACTCATTTTAAGTTTTTTTCTTTAGACGAAGCTTCTCCTGTTTTTGAAAAAATGCTGTTAAGAGATGTCAAAAACAGGTTTGGCTGAATTTTATAATGCCAGAAAATGTAAATGAAATATACTGGTATAGATCTTAATTTTATAGATCAAGGAAAGATAAAAAGCATTCTTTTTCTGAAATTAATAATTCTATCTTTTCTGGGAAATAGTATTGAATCTGAATGCTTATTTTGAAATATAGAAAGACAAACCCTAAATTTTGCCAGACTGCATTAGTGTGTATTTTTGGCCTTCTTACTTGTGCAATATCTGTCTACCATAGAGTGCGGAGGTGTGCATACAGGTATCTGGTACTGAAGTAAACTGAAGACGTGTGCAGTATTTAAGGAGACGTAGATTCTAATTAATTCATTTGTAAAACCATTTACTCACTGTGTATATGTTAAAAGTTTTTATTTTCAAATGAGAAATTCCAGACGTATATTTTGCAAAATGAGCTTGGATTTAAAAAGTGTTTTGTGCCAAAAGTATCATACTTAATTTTCACAGTGCTTTACTATCATAATTTATAGTTTTTAATATCTTCTGAAAGTAATTTCCCTCTCTGATAGGGTAAAGAGGAGTATAAACTTTTTAATGCTAGAGCATCTCCCAAATGAGACTTGTTGCAGAACCTGAGCACTGGCTCTTTCATATATCTGTCCATAGGGGACCGGGTGGTGAGCTCATCCTGTTGCAGGTTGGCCAAGTCCCTAACGAGACACACAGCACATCTGCAGTTACTCACTAGGTCTTGTGAAGTGCATTGGTGCATCCGCTACCTTTTGCTGCTGAGAACCCAATTTTGAACTTAAAATTAGGCTAATGGTTTTTAAAAATGCACAAGAGATGGATGGTCTTTTGTCCTAATCCAAATTATGAATTTTGTAATGCACTGCAACTCAAAGCATCCCTTTGTTTACATTTTTGTGGGGTATTTTCAGAGCAAAATTTCTATAACTGTGGGTTTGTATAGCACTTTCTCAAGAGCTGTCAGCACCAAATACAAAGTAATTTAAGAAATGATTTTAATATGTAATCATGTGTCAGAGCATAAATTTTATTAGTTGAGACAGTAGCTTTCCAACTGAGATAATTACACGAGTTCTGTTAAGATTGACTGTCATTTATCAGTGGCTTGGTAAATAACCCCTTTCAGTATACCTGGTTTTTACAGGTTTTCAAAATATGTAGAAATAACTTTTCTTAAAAAATATGTCATAATTTTTTTTTTATTTGTATTAAATATATGTTTTATGTACTCCCCTTGTATGTTTTATCTTATTTTAGTTTTTAAGTCTTCCATCTGGACTACCCTCACCCTGTGCCCAGATTAATACTGAAAATGTAATAGACTTTTCTGAGGCTTCCTTGTTAAAGTGTTCAAGAGTTAATCTTTGTTTTTCATAATATTGAAACAATCTGGCATTATCTATTTCAAACTAATATAAAATGTTTATTTTTGTGTTACCAGTTGTCACTACTCCCATTGCTGGCAGTGGGATGGCTGTTGGGAACAACGTGGTTCCTAACAAAGGGTACCTGCTAGTGATTCATCTTTCCTCTTCTAATACAGTCTCTTGAAATACAGTCTATCTTTAATTTTTGCACAAAGTATATTTTGTAGCAAGTAATATGATGGTCTTTATTAGTAGAAAAATCACATTATATGTTGTAGTTCTATATCATGTAACAATTAAATGTGTGGCTAAAAGTTTATTACTTCTCTATATAAAAAAATGTAGTGGCTGATGATGGTTCCAGTTAGTTCTAATGTTTGTAATATAATTTTATGCAATTAATTTTGTCTTCTTTTTTCTTTCTGTGAGAACTGAAGAGATCTTTGTTACACATTGGAATTTCTAATGTGTACTGTTGTATTTTAAACCTACCCATTAGTCATTTTAAATAATTAAGTAGGCTGGAAAATTGGTCATAAATGATATTGTGAAATAATTTCTTAATTTATTCTGAAATCTTCAAAATTGACATTAATTTTTTTTTCTGAGCCCTTTATTTTAAATAACCCCATTATTAATTCCTAATGAAACATGGATGATAAAGAAAAGAATATCTGAGACTATAGATTATTGTGCATTTATGCTCTAATGTGTTTTTTTGACATTGTGGTTGATTTTTAGCATACAGATAGATAGCTGTGGAATAACTGCCATATTTCAGAGTTCCTCAGGTTTTCTTCTCCTTGTTCAATCGCTGCCTTTCAAAGCATACTGAATAGCCCAGATATGGCAGTATTGTTAAATAAAATCAGGTTAAATGGTTTCCTTTTTATCTGCCCAAAGGTGATAGCATACGTACACTTTTTCAAAATAAAAATAATGTTACCAAAATGAACAACATTCCACATTTGATGTCAGAAGGTTGTTTGAGAAGTTTGCAATGCAGTGCTTTGAAAGAACTCTCAGTGATGTGTATTCCATTGTGCCTGCAACTTTTTAAGGACTGGGATCTCAGAATGGTGATTTGGCCTTAGGACCTAATGTCCCAACTTTAACTGTTGTATTACTTTAATGCAAGATGTTGTTAATTGCTAGCATTCTTTTCAAAATCTTTGCAATGGTTACTGCTGAAATGCATTAGGGTACGTGTTTCACTGGACAGGGTGTAAACATTCCGTTACTTGTCACACACTCCACACTCATCTCACAAACAGGTACAGGTACATTTAATCAGTCTGACTGTTAGTTCTGACTATCGTGCATACTGTTATCACTATTTAGGTTTTTCACCTCTTAAACAAGTGTCATACAAGTGAATTTGTTTGCTAACAGGAGATATTCAGAACCCCAGTGGACTATGAAATATCTAATCACCAAACTATTGGGTAACTGGATCATTTGACTGTAATAACCCTTTTCTTCTCTGAGTAGGATGTTCCCTATAGTACGCTGTTGGTAAATGGTCTTTTAAAAACTTTGGCTTAAAAAGAAAACTGAACCCTTTCTATATTTTTGTTACTATTAATGTTTTTGTAAATTTGAATGGAAAACTACTTGTATATATTGTTGTTAGGTTGCAATTACACCCTCAAACTTAAAGTATATTACTTGATAAAAATTTTATGCAAGATAAATTCCAACAATTAAAAAAATAAATGCATTTCAAAGCTAGAATTTTGTGTGATATGTGTGATATGTATCACCAGTATAGAACAAACAGGAAAAAGGTACAATGCTGTGTGTTTAAAAAAAAAAAACCTGAAGAATATTT